GGGGGCTGGAGGAGGGCCGCTTGTGCAACCGCAAGGCCTGTGGCTGTGAGTGCGAGTGCAGGGCACGGGCTAGAGGACGCCCAGGAAGGGGTGGGGCCTGTAGTGTGAGGGAAGAGCCCTGGAGAGGTACCTGGAGGTGGGTGGGGCCAGGTGGGTTTTCTGTTCCCAGTGGACAGAGCATGGGGGATGCATGTGGAGTACTGGCTGTGGGGTGTGCCCCTCTCCCACACCTGGGGACCCCTGGCCAGGCCAGTCTGCTGCAGCTGGATCCTGCCTGCAGGATGTATTTCTCTAATAAGACTCTCTACTGACCTCATGCATCTCCTAGCTGCTTCCATAGCGTTAAATCAGGTTGTAACGAGAATGTCGAGCCTGTCGTTCTTTCGCACGCTGCGGGTCCTGCAGGAACCTCTGACCTTGGTGGTGGGGCAAGCAGACGGGAGACAGGACCCACAGGAAGAGGCTGTGGTAACCTGCAGGGTCAGTGTTGGGCTGACTGGTTTTCTGAGTGTCCATTGGGGCCCTCCGTGGCCAGGGACAGAGGGGGCCCAAACTCAGACCCTGGCCCTGCCCTGCTGACCTTGGCTACGACACTGACCTGAGTCTGTCCTGCAGCCGCTGGGCGCACCAACTCTCGGAGCCAGTCCCTGCGGTCCACGGATGCCCGACGGCGCGAGGAGCTGGGGGACGAGTTGCAGCAGTTTGGGTTCCCGTCCCCCCAGACGGGTGAGCCACAGGGCAGACGAGTCAGAGTTGCTGGCAGTCAGAGAGGGCTGGGAGGGCCGGAGCCCTGGAGGAGGCCTTGGGTAGTCATAGCTGCTGGTTAGAGCAATAACCTTGACTCCTTGCCTGACAAGCCAACCCTTAGGGACCAGGCCCTTGGTCCCAGGCAGACCAGCTTTAAGGGGCCACCACCAGGTGATGGGGGCTTGGACTGGGCCTGACCCAGGATGCGGGCTCGCTCTCAGGGGCTCCAGGCCCTGGGGAGGGCTGCAGTCCTGTAGGCCAGCTAGGTCCACGGGCCCAGGAGTCCGAGTCTGGCAGACATCGCCAGCCCTGGGGAGCTCCTCCAGGCCTGATTACAGCCCAAGGGCAGAGGCCATGGTCGGTCTGGGCCACAGGTGACCCGGCGGCCGAGGAGTGGTCCCCGTGGAGCGTGTGCTCCAGCACCTGCGGCGAGGGCTGGCAGACCCGCACGCGCTTCTGCGTGTCTTCCTCGTACAGCACGCAGTGCAGCGGGCCCCTGCGTGAGCAGCGCCTGTGCAACAACTCCGCCGTGTGTCCAGGTGCGCGAGCGTGGGGGCCGGAGCTGGGGCTGGGGGCGGGCAGGATGGGCAGGGACAGCGGGGGCTGAGGACTGGGGGACAGGGCGGCAGGGACGGCACCCTTCCTACCTGTCCGTCTGCAGTGCATGGCGCTTGGGATGAGTGGTCGCCCTGGAGCCTCTGCTCCAGCACCTGTGGCCGCGGCTTCCGGGATCGGACACGCACCTGCAGGCCCCCCCGGTTTGGAGGCAACCCCTGCGAGGGTCCCGAGAAACAAACCAAGTTCTGCAACATTGCCCTGTGCCCTGGTAGGTGAGAGGGAGAGTGGGGGTGAGGGGAGGCCAGGAGGCCAGGCCTAGGAGCCTGGCTTTGCCTGCCCAAACCTGCCTCTAGGCCCTCGGAGTGGGCCTCAGACTGTGCCCAAGGTGCGGGGTGCGGCCTGGGGTGTCCCGCCCTTGTCCCAGGCCAGCGCGCACACTAGGTGTTCACGCCGACTCTGTCCCTTCCTCCCCCGGGCCGGGCAGTGGACGGAAACTGGAACGAGTGGTCCAGCTGGAGCGCCTGCTCCGCCAGCTGCTCCCAGGGTCGGCAGCAGCGCACACGCGAGTGCAATGGGCCCTCCTACGGGGGCGCCGAATGCCAGGGCCACTGGGTGGAGACACGCGACTGCTTCCTGCAGCAGTGCCCAGGTCAGCCTGTGGCCCAGTTGGGGCCTCATGGGAGGGTGGGTCTCACTGGGGCTGCCATGTGCCCTGGCATGTGGTGGGGAGGCGTGGAGGAGCCATGGAGCCAGGGGCTGTGGTCTGCTGACTGCAGCAAGCTCCTTCTGGGCAGAGCTGATCTGCTGTTCCCTCTCCGGGTCTCCTTTCCTTTGTCCTCATGGCTCCCTGTTCCTACGTCCCGGGGTCCCTGCGTCTCCTTGTCCCTGTGTGCCTACCCGTGTGTCTCTGTCTTCATCCCTGTGCTTCTGTGTCTGGCTGTCTCCCCAGTGGACGGCAGGTGGCAGGCCTGGGCATCCTGGGGCAGCTGCAGTGTCACGTGCGGAGGTGGCAGCCAGCGCCGAGAACGGGTCTGCTCTGGGCCTTTCTTCGGGGGAGCAGCCTGCCAGGGTCCACAGGAGGAGTACCGGCAGTGTGGCACGCAGCGCTGTCCCGGTGAGACGCTCTCTGGGGCTGGGGCTGGGAGCTGGGCCGCTGGGGCTGTGTCCTAGAGGCTGTCCTGGTCTGGAAGACCTCGTCCCCGTCCCCCCAGCCTGCTGCCAGCCCGGCCCCTCTCCCAACTCTCTCCCTGCTGTCTGGCCCCGGGCAGAGCCCCATGAGATCTGCGATGAGGACAACCTTGGTGCTGTGACCTGGAAGGAGACACCGGCGGGGGAGGTGGCTGCTGTGCGCTGTCCCCGCAACGCCACAGGTGGGCTGGAGAGCTCCTGTCCTGTCTGCCCGACACATGCCCTCCTGGCCCCTCAGAGCCCACACACCCTAGTGCAGCCCTGCGAGTGTGCCTGCTCAGGTCACCTAGGAGGGCACTGAGTGCCACCAGCTGGGGACACTGGTAGTCCCGGGGTTCTGAGGCCTGGCACCCGGGCCAAGACCTCCTCCTGAGTGGTTTGTCCTGTCTAGCTCTGACATGCCCGTGGAGTCCCCACTGTCTGCAGCCCATTTGCAGGGGTACGGGAAGTCTGCACACTGGCCCTGACTCACGGGGCCAGCGGGCAGTCCTCTTTGGAGGGCCACCTTCGTCCCCTTGTTCTCCAAGCAGTGACAGGGCCATGAGAGGCTATGGGAGAACAAGTGGGCCTTGTGGGGAGACGCTGGGCCACACCAGGCTTGGTCTTCTGTTGGAAGGACTGTGAGATGCACAGACAGGGAGGTAGGACTCTGGTTCAAACCTCGGCTCTGCCAAGTTTGCTGTGAGGCATCCAGTAAGTGCCTTGCCCTCTCTGAGCCTCAGTTTTCTCAGTGAGCCAGGTTCCTGGGCATGGCTGCTTCCTAGGTACAGCAGTCGTAGGGAATGGTGGGTGCCCTGGGCAGGGAAGACAGCCGGCACTGTGTGCTGCCCCCACTCCGTGTCTGCTCACGGAATAGCATGTGTTCTTGGGGGCAAGCTGCAAACTCCGTCGACTGCGACGAGGAGGTGGCGTCCCCCTGTGGTGCACCTTCCCGGGCCTTCCGCCCACCTGGCTGGGCTTGTCAGGGGGTGGCTGGGCCTCAGTTCTCACGTGGCACGTGAGGCTGTGTGGCCCAGGCGGGCCAGGGTGTCCAGGGCAGCAGGGCACTGAGCAAGCCGACTCCCTCAGGGAGGCCCTGGCCAAACTCTGAACCCCCGCCCCCCACCCCCCCCAGCTGGGTAGAGGGCTGCACCTCCAAGCCAGGAGGTCCCCAGCACCCCCAGCACCTGGTGAGTGTGCTAAGTGGCGGCCCAGAAATTGGTGAGTGGAGGGGATGCAACTACTCCCGGCGTGAGCCATGGGCGAGTCCCTGCTTCTGGGGCCCGAGGGCCTGCCGGGAGGACCCCTACTGGGCAGGCTGAGAGGCCTGCACGGGGCCATGAGCACCTTCTGAGGAGCCGGAGGTCCCCAGGGCTCATCTTGCGTCGCTGCGTGCTGGACGAGGAGGGCATCGCCTACTGGGAGCCCCCCACCTACATCCGCTGCGTCTCCATCGACTACAGGAACATTCAGATGATGGTGAGCCCCACACCCTGCCCGCGCCAGCACCCCAGGGCCCTCCCAGCCTGTCCTGGGGAGCTCTGTCCCTGGGGCACGGGGGCATTCCCGCCCTCAGGACGTGGGCTGTGTAGGGCCTTTAGCATGGTAGGTCCCTGGTACTGCTGGGTGCCGAGAAGCGATGGCATCCAGGCCTCTCTGTCCCCAGACCCGGGAGCACTTGGCAAAGGCCCAGCGCGGACTGCCGGGGGAGGGGGTCTCGGAGGTCATCCAGACGCTGGTCGAGATCTCCCAGGATGGCACCAGCTACAGCGGGGACCTGCTGTCCACCATCGATGTCCTGAGGAACATGACCGAGATCTTCCGGAGGGCCTACTACAGTCCCACCCCGGGGGACGTGCAGGTGGGATGGCAGGAGGGTGGCCTCGGGGAGGGCTGCTGGGAACGTGGCCAGGGGCTGTCCTTGACCCTCACCAAGATCCAGCCTCCTCCTGACTATAGGCTGGGCCCCGACTCCAACCTACCACTGAGTCCCAGACCCGTCAGAGACTGAACCCTGAGTCCTGACCCTGGTCACATTCTGAGCCCTGACCCTGATCTCATTCTGAGCCCTGTCCCTGGTCACATTCTGAGCCTTGGCCCTAGTCACACTCTGGGCCCTGACCCTGGGTCACACTTAGCCCTGACCCTGGTCCCATGCTGGGCCCTGACCCTGCTAACACTCTGGACCCTAACCCTGCTCACACACTGAGCCCTAACACTGCTCACACGCTGGGTCCCGACCCTGGTCATGCCCCAGGCCCCGACCCTGGTCACACCCCGAGCCCTGACCCTGGTCACACCCCAGGCCCCGACCCTGGTCACATCCCGAGTCCTGACCCTGGTCACGCACTGAGCCCTGACCCCGGTGTCCCCTGAGACCCAGCTGTGGGCTGAGCCCCTACCCTGGTGCCTGTTCTCTAACTGGTCCATCCTCTTCTTTCCAGAACTTTGTTCAGATCATCAGCAACCTGTTGGCCGAGGAGAACCGGGACAAGTGGGAGGAGGCCCAGCTGGTGCGGACACGGGCCTGGGCCCTTGTGGCCAGCAAATTCAGGGTGGGCACAGGCTAGCCAGGGGCAGGGGGGGGACCCTAGGCACTCTGCTGGCCCTGGGCGCGAATCTAGCATGGCCCCCTGCCAGTGTGTGACTTGGAGGAAGCGGCTGGCCTCCCGACCCTGTCTTCACCTGTCAAAGGACAGAGCTTACTAATGGGTTCAGCCAGGCGGGCAGGAAGATATGTCGGCCACATGGCACCTGTCCAGGAGACCAGGATGCAGCAGGGCTTTTTCTTCTGGAAAGGGCCAGCAGCCTCCCTTCCTCCCAGGACGACTGAGACTGCGGCAGCCCCTCACCCCAAGGCAGTAGCTGACGTAGGGGCCGGGGTACCCAGGGGCCCTCCCTCCAGGACCCCCATGGGACATGCATGGCAGCCCTGTAGGCCTCAGCCCTGGGCCTGTTTCCTCGTGTAAATGCTGGGGAGTGGCTGGCAGGACCATGAGAGGGGCCGGAGGACAGGGGAAGCCGCAGGAAGCTACAGGTGGCAGCGGCACAGGCTCTTTGCCCAGCTCTGGGCTGCTCACCCATCCTGTTTCCCAGATGGGCCCCAATGCCAGGGAGCTCTTCCGCCTGGTGGAGGACTTTGTGGACGTCATTGGGTTCCGAATGAAGGACTTAAGAGATGCTTACCAGGTGACAGACAACCTCGGTAAGTCCCTTGACGGAAGCCCTGTGCCCTGGCTATGCAGCAGGGCAGGGCCCTTCCACCTCAGCCTCCTCCTCTGTATCAGAGGCAGCGGGGCAGACACCCCCACTGGCCCTGCCAGCCTGTAGCTCAGGTTCGCTCCATCCTTCACTGGCACGGCCCTTGTGCCCTGTGACCGATGTCGTGGCTGGGAGTGGGCCCGACCCAGAAGGGCCCTGAGCCTTCCCCTTGCTCACGCTCCCTGGGTGGGGACTCGCCTCAGCCATCCCCGCAGTGCCCGCTCTGGGCTACCACCACTTCTCTGCCCTCCTACCCAGAAGCTCCTTGCAGAGGGGCCTGGACTCCACTCAGCTCCCAGCGCTGGTCGCTCTTAGTGTCCTGAGAGGGGGTCATGACAGTGCCCACCTTACGAGACTGTGCGAGCCCTCAGTGAGGCGAGCCTGTGCCGGGGACCTCGGGGTCAATGCGGTGTTGCCCCAGCATGCTCACCGCTTCTGACGGCTGGCACCGCCGACTTCACAGACGCCTGGCGCGGGCCCCATTCCCCAAGCCCTCCTGCCTCAGTCAGGGACTCCTCACAGGACACGAGGAGTGGGTGCTTGCCCCAGCTTGATCCAGACTGTCACCCCCCCCAGGACACTCAACCTCCGGTGATGTGCCGGAGAGAGGCTGAGCTTGGTGAGCCCACACCCTGGGGCTGCCCTGGCAGCTCTGCTAATGAGCACCAGCCACTCTGGGCCGCCGAGCACCCCGCGTCCCTGAGCTCCAGGTCCCTGAAGCCACTGCTGCTTTGTGCCTTAGGAGCTCAGGGTCCTGGCTGTTCAGAGCTGGGGGCGCCTCTGGGGCAGCCGGCACCCCCATCTCACAGGTGAGCAGCAGGTGGCTTGGAGGGGGCAGGCTCCTGGGGCGTCTGGGGCCACTGACCCCTGCCGCGAGCAGGACTAGGCCGAGCCAGTGACCAGCCCTCAAGGCCTGCGCTCTTGCCCTGCAGGAGGCCCAGGCTTCCGCGAGCCCTGCAGCACACTAGCCACTCACCCCATTCTGACCTCCGTGAGCCCACCCGCCCCATGTGCCCTGGGATGCCATACGCCCTGCGGCCCCTGCTGTCTCTGCCATTCTCGTCGAGAGCCCCACGCACCCCCACACTTCTCTGTCTCTTGGTCTGTCCACTGTGCCATTGGGGGCCCCTTTCATCATCAGAAGATGCCCTGCAACCCAGCCCCAGGCCCTGCTCCTTCCTACTCATCCAGGCCCCACCCTGCAGCCTTCTCAGGGAGCCCAGGTCCGCCTCCGGCCTTCCTTGTAGCTCAGACCCACCGCCCCCACCTGCTCCTGCCCCCCACCCCAGGCTGGCGGTCTGCACTCCT